GAAGTAAGCGAGCGGCTGGGGGGGGCTGAGTTGCCGGCTGCAGTTAAACCCAACAGTAGGAGAGTCGTGTGGCTCCACCTCAGAGAAGGAGGGTTGGAAGAGCATCAGTCCAAGGTAACAGACAACTACCCTTGTAGAAACCCTACCTTTGTTCACGGTGATGATCCCAGACCTCTCTCCCCCAGCTCCTCTTCGCTAGATGTGACATGGATGATGTGAAGAAAAAGCAGTTCCCAGTGCGGTCCTTTTAGAGGGACTGAGATTTCCCATTTTCCCCCTTCCCAGCCTGTGCTTCCTCACAGGGGTAAGACACAATGAAAAGCATAGGCTTGTCTTCTCCTGCTCCCTTCAGCATCCCGGGCACCTCTCTGTCCCTCTGAGGAGAAGGCAGATGGCACACATGGCTGTGACCATGATCGCTGGCATCCATTTGTCATTTCATATGCACTGCAAGAAGTGTTTTGACTTTGTGTATGTGTCGTTAGCTGTCTGACGTCAATGCAAGCAAAATGGCGGAGGGCTTATTACTCTCTCATATTTTTGCATGCCTACAATGCCTGCGATGAGTGAAAAAGCACTTGTGGAGATGGTAGAAATCATTGGTCAGCTCTTTAATTGTGTCTTTTGTTGATGGTAAAGTAGATTAATGCTGGATACTGGAGGCTGAGACGGTCAGCACCCATTCCTACATTTCCCAGCGACTTCCCAAATAGTTTTCTGGACAAGCCATTTTTCAGGCTAAGGACTCTGTTTACCCTTCTGTAAGCATGACAATAATTAAAAGCCAGGGACGCCTCTTGGGATGCATCAGTTGTGATAGTGATTAACCACTGTTGTTAACTAAAGTGAAGATAGCTCTGGGACAGAAAACGCTACTGACAGTATTGAAGTACTTTATTTGTTCAACAACTGATGAACATGCTGGTGCTAGGCTGAAGACATGCTTTAAGTAGGTGGATTATGATCTGGAGGAGAGCCTGGCTTTGGGATGAATACAGGATGGAGGTTAGCAGCCCTTGACATGCCTAACCAAGCCATTGACATCCCTAATTCACCCCAGAAATACAATCACGCCTCTCCCGGCAGTGTGGGAATGCTCAAGCATGATAGATCTGTGCTGAGCAGTGCCTACCCTTTGCACAGCGGTTGTGCTTGCTGACCTTGAAGAAACACCTATTCTGCTCGAAGGATTTCGTTCAGTTGCCATTTTTACTCTTTGAGCATTTCATTGCCAGGGAAATCCCTCTGGTTTTGTCTTGCCTGGCAGTCCCATGGCAGCCCACACTGCTGATCATGGATGGCTTGTCTAAGCCATGCTTGAACGACCCATGTACTTCAGGAGCACCAGCTTGGCCACCTCTGGGCTGTTCCGAGATCGGTGTACACCACTCCTGGTGGTTATCGGGGCTTGCAAAATGAACCAGCTGGCAGCAACTGAAGTTACAACATCCTGCGGTAGCATTAAACATCCTCTGACTGGGTATT